GGGCCAGGAGGTGGGATGGGAGGGTGGGATGGGGGAAATTTCTGGAACCTGGGCTATTTTTTTATTTCCCTTTCATCCCCGCTTTGCACAGAGCCCTCCTGCAAAGAGGTGGCACCAAGAGATTTCCACCAAGGCAAAAAATTAAGATTTCCCTCTTTCCCCCCCTTTTTTTTTTTCCAGTGGGAATTTCAGCCGTGATAGGCGCTGCCTTTATTAAAGGGCTTCCTATAATTAGTAGATGCAGCATATATTGCAAATCCGGGTTTATTATAGAGAGGGCTGAGCAGATGCTTGACGTGGCATCTGAATTTGGCTAAAACCGGCTAAAGGACGATGTCCTGCGCGCCTTCACTTAGGACATGAAGTCATCTGTGCTGGAGGGGGGTGTGAAAAAGCAGAGAGGCAGGGAGGGAAGGACGTGGAGAAGGTGGAAAGCTGCCATCGCCAAGTCCTTCCAAAGCTGGCCGCCTTGGTTTTTTTCTCTCCCTGCGTATCTTGCGCCAAGCGTTTGCGGAGTAAATTACGCGGAGCCTCCGCGGGAGGAATCCGCGTCTTTCCTACGCAGCTTGGCAATGTAAATAAACAGGCAGGAGCGGGAGGAGGGGTGGAGAGGGCTGCGGAGGATGCTCCCCCGCGCAAGTGCTTAAATTTACTCGTCTTTTTGTTTGGCATTGTTGATTTTTCTTTTTTTTTTTTTTTTTTAACCCTGCGTTTAATTGCTTTAATTTATTTTATGCGTGCTTTGATGCTCAACATTATTTGGTGCTAATGAAAGAGTTCCAGTCCGCAGTAAAGTAATTGAAGGGAGGAGGGAGAATCTTAAAAAGAAAAGGGGGAAAAAAAAGGTAGTAAAGGCAGGGCGAAATAGATCGGGTTTCTGCAAATTAGTTACAAGAAGAAGAGAATTAAAATGAGGAGGGGGAAAGACTATTTGGGCGAATTCTGGCTTCTTTACTTTCCTCCTTTATGTTCTTACCTTCCTCAGTAATAGCCCCAGCGCAATCTCAGAGGGAGAGAGAGGAAGGAGAGCAGCCCGCATTCCCAGAACCCCGAAAATCAATTATATATTAGTATATTCACCCAATCTGTTGAAAAGATGCTAAAATTTTGGAAGGAGTGATCACTCTTAAAAAAGAGAGTTCAAGATGGTAAATCGAGACGTGCATTACTCTAAAAGGATCTTTTAGTACATCCATTTAACACGGGAAAAAGCAATTTCTAGAGCCCGGGTGTTATTTTTAATAAGAAAAGGAGAAGGAATCCAACCCCGTGGTAGATTATCGGAGATTTCATTTTTATTTCGAAGAATAATAATCACAGACAAAGGGAAAAAAAAAAAACCAAAAACAAAACAGCAACGCGTCGCCATTAAATAATTTGCTACTTTGATATACAACATTTTACGTAGCACAATATTAATTCCTCTTCTTTTTTTTTTTTTTTTTCCGTAGAGACTTGAATAAAGAAGAAATCCAGGTAAAAAATATACACGGACAAAAGAGCATAGCAAGGAGAAAAGAACCACGGAGGTTCCAGGGAGAAGGCGGAATAATCATTTATATTATGTACAGGGCTCTATCTGCTAAAATGTAATTTGCATTCAGACTTTTCAGGTCACATTTTCTAAATTAAAGGTGCTAAACACGACCACGTTACTTCATACCAAAACAAAACAAAAAAAGTACACAGCGAGGTACAAACGGAGATTTACAAATTACTTGTACTAGAGGAAGACTCACATAGAAAAATGTGTCTATTCTGACTCTAAAGCCACATTTAATAGGTAGATAGTAATTCTATTGTACAAAAAAAAAAAGACTTTAATATAGGTAGTATTTTTTTCAGTGTCAGGAAACACAATGTATCATTCCTAGGGTTTTTAATTATTTATGCACTTATCATTTATCTATTTTAATATATAGTCTTTTTTTTTTTTCCTGTGGGTTTTTCCCCCCCTCTTTTTTTCTTCTTCTCGAGTGGCTTTCCACTTTTCCTGCAGCCGCATCTTTCATTCCTCCTCGTCGTCCTCCCCGTCTGGTTTTTCCTGGCTGTTGGAGCCGGAGCAGGCAGTTTTATTTTCCTTTTTCCACTTCATGCGCCTGTTCTGGAACCAGATTTTGATCTGTCTCTCGGTGAGACACAGGGCGTGGGCGATCTCGATGCGTCTCCTCCTCGTCAGGTAGCGGTTGTAGTGAAACTCCTTCTCCAGCTCCAGGGTCTGGTACCTGGTGTAGGTCTGGCGGCCGCGTTTTCTGTCGGTGCCTGGGAAATAAAAGCAGATTTAGATCAACTAAGGCTTCGGGGGAGATGTTTTGGGGGGATACTGGTTGGATTTGCTCTCTTGCTTTTGTCTTGAGTTGCTGCCCAGCAAGCACCCATCCACTGCAGTCCCACGGGGGCCACAAAATCCTCCGAGGAGCAGCTATACAACCTGGGGTAGCCCTTCTTTTTATCCGCAAGATCAGCTTCTTCTGCTCGAAGCTTTCCCCACGTCACCCTCCCTGTTAGAAGCCCCCCAAATCCCCCTGGATTTGATTTCCCTTCAGGGAGGAAAAGCGTGCAGTGCTTTTTCTGTGCGTGTCTCCGAGTGACCAACAAACTTCAGAAAGTTTCCTGCCCTCGTAGCACCGCTCAGACTCTGAGCTCCTGCTTTAATTTTCATTGAGACCCCAGAAATTTTGGGTGGTTGGGGAATAAATCCAGCAGAATAGTCGAGCCAGAGCGAGAGAGGCATCTGCTACCTACACAAATCCAACTATTTGTCCTCTCTTAAAGCTGTCATCAGGGCGCCTGCTTGGAAGGTGTGTGATGGTCTTAATTATTTCAAGGGATTTTTTGGGGGCACAGCAGTGACTTCGGGGCTGTCAGGGGATCTGATCCCCTCGGGCTGCTCTTCTGGGAGGGTTATGCCCAGATGAGAAGCTCCTCAACACTTACTCCAGGCTCCCCAGGACCCCCCAGCTGCCTGCGAGTGGGGTTTGGAAAGGGCCCAGCTCCTAATTCTCCCCTCCACCCGACATTTCCTGGAGTCTGATTGGAAATCATTTTACAACATGGTGTTTGTGACCCTGATTCTGTTCTCTATGTAAATGCGATGTGTATCTATAGTATAATGTATTCTTTCCCAGAGCAGTGGGGATGGTGATCAGCAGCCCTCGGCCTCTCCTCCACACATTCCACCCGACTCCTCTTCTTCTTCCCTTTTTTCTTCTTTTTTTTTTTTACCCCCACCCCTCTTTCTTTTTAAAAGAAGAAAAGATCCAGTCATTAAAAGGAGGGGGGAAAAAAAGCAAAATAGCCAGGCTAGCTGTAAAGTAAAAATGTGCAGGTCGTGGAATGTGGGTTGTAAAATCCGCTGAGGGGAGAGCCATAAACTGCTGCTGAATAGGGATGACAACTCTATCTCTGCTCCTGATGAAATTCCACAAGCAGATCGCACAGTGGGCATGAGGAACGAGGAGGGAGGGGGGGTAGGCAAGAGGGGGGACCCCGCTTTTACGACCCAGGTCGAGTTTCTTTGGCTTTAGGCTTAGCAGATCCCAGAGCATCCCAGGGTTTTGAGCGCTGGACCCGGCGCGTTTGCCCAAATCCTCTCTAATGTTGGTCCTCGCAGCGTCACAGCCTAAAAAGGGGGATGAGTGTGTGTGTGTGGGGGGGACTTCTTAAATCTAAAGGCAGAGAAAAGCAGAGATGAAGTGTTTATGACCAGAAATATTTGGTCTTTGATAAATCAACTGTAGAAGTGAATGAATTATGGAGCAGGTAATGGAAAGAACTGACCACCAAATAAGTGTGCGGGTAACTCCTGCCTTTATAAGCCGCTCTGCTTTGGCTGTTTCGCTGTTTTCTTTTTCCTCTCCTTCGCAGGGCGGCTGGCCCGCACTCCGCTCGCCCCCGAGGTTGCCTAACAAGACCCTTCCCCGAATATTTGGCGGCGGAGGGAGCCTGGCTCGCAGGGATGCTCTCAGGTTGCAATCTGGCACGGCAGAGGCGAAGCCGGGGAGGCTGGAAAAACGAGCTGACGCCTTCCCCTCGGCTCCCAGCCGGGACAGCAGCGCCTTTCTCCCCCCTTCTCGGGGTTACACGAGTGTAAACACAACCACGCGTGCACACCGACACCGGCCGGGCAGCTCCTGGAGGGGGGAGCCCGACCCCGGGGCGCTCGGTGCAGCGGGGCCCGGGAGGAGCCGGGACACTCCGAGTCCGGGAAAATGGGTATTTATTAAATGATAATAGTCATTAGTACCCCGGGACGGGTCGCGGTGG